CCTCATGTTTTGGTATTTTTGTCAACCCTGTTACCGACACAAGCGTTACTAGATACTATAGTTTAATTAGAACTATGTGATAGCATTTTAGTCCCTCTTTTCACTGGGATTGTTTCAATTTTTTTTTGTCATTCAGATGACCAAGAACATCCTAATTTTGGAGGGTGACCAATTAAGAAAAATATATATTTTTACAAGAGAGATATTAAAAAAGGGCTTTGTCTAAAATAAAATATAGCTAAAGTTACAATGGAAAAACCTGAAGGCTGTATCAAATATAATTTTTAAAATTTTTTTATGAAATTAACCAATTAACTAACCAGAGTAACAGGGATGACAGGACACACATTCTTCAACACACTACACATATTTGTTTACATAATACTGTACAGTTTTACAATTATATTATATTGTTTTGCACTTACTTGGCATTGTTGTATGACAATAGTAAACAGTCAATTTTTCAGTTTAAGTCAGTTCATTGTTGATTTAGCATGTTACATTTAAAAGAGATCTAATATTTTAAGGGTATTGTAATAAATCTATGTCATCCCTGTTACCCAAATGTCAAAACATGTTACCCTGAAAAGTAACAGTGATGACAGTAACAGGTTTGACAATTTCAAACTAATTTGCTAATTTCTAGCTAATAGTCAAGTTCACAAAAGCACATGTTGTACACTTTGAAAGGATTTTACTTGTAGATATTGATTATATTAAATGTAATAAATAATTGTTTAAATTTACATTTTAAAAATGGTAACAGTATTGACACTGCATGATGCTCCTTTATAGATTGTTAGTTGATTTATAATGGGCGATGTGCAAAGTAGCCTAATAGTGTAATCTGTTAACTATGCATAAAAACCCGTCTTTTTACTTAAGTACCAGATATGGGTGTCATGCCATAAAATATTTGGTAGCACTTTATTTTACAGTCCTGTTACTCATGTACATACTATGTACTTATTATAGTAATTACAATTACTAGGTAATAACTAGGTACTAATCCTGAACCTAACGCTAAACCTACCCCTACCCCATACCTTATATTAGCAGTGCTTTCTTAGGTAGGTACACTATAAGTACACTGTAAGTACATGTATGTTCACGTACTGTAAAATAAAGTGCAACCAAATATTTTTAATACGACTGACTTTGTATTTAATGTGAATTAAATAAAAACATTGTAAGTTACTAATTATAACACTTTCATTGTACAGAAAGAGAGCAATAAAGAACATTTACATTATCAAAGAACATTTTCACTGACTTCAGTCTAGCCAGAGTTCAAGCACTCTCAAAAACTCCCAATATAATCACTGAAGCTGTTTACACTGTGAAATTAATATCTTACTTACATTTGTGCACACGTCTGCACTTTGTTGTTTCTGATGAGAGAATTCGCCAGAGAGCAGAATTCCATCAGCGTGCGCACACAATGAAACACCGCCGTTTCAGCGATGACTCATCTGAACGCCTCTGATTGGTCATTGCATTCATAAGCTCAACAGAATTGTGTGTGATTGATTACAATGCGCAGCGCTGTAAAAACACGTCTGTCTCTGGCTCAGCGCCAGCCAGCTGAAAGCAGATTTGAATTTAGCAGCTGGTGATGCCGCACTGAATGATCTAATCACACTGGTGTGATCATATCCAATATTAAAAAATATTATTTGCTATTTTTTGTCTTTTGGAAGCTCCATTCAAAATTCACTTGGCTCAAAGATCTGAGGGGGCACATGGCCCATGACGCCTCTGGTTTTACTACAAATACCATGGTTAAACTATGTTTAGTGTAGCAAACCCATAGTTAATATGGTTACCATGGTTTAACATCAAATTCTGGTCCAAACATAGATTGTGTCCTTTCACTTGTTTGCATTTCATATACTTACTGTGCTGTGGTTTACTATAGAATCTCTATCTGAACAACTGTTTCTATTTGTTTTGCAGGAGTGTCTGGTGCTGAGACAGATGCATTAGAATCAGTTTCAGTGTTGGAGGGAGATTCTGTCACTCTACATGCTGTTGAAACACAGGCAGAAGATCTGAAAGTGTGGACCTTTGGACCTGATGAAACTATCATAGTTAGGAACTCCGAAATTAAGATATCTACAGACAGATTGCTGGTGGACCAATCGATTGGATCTCTTACCATCAAGAACATCACAGTTAATTTTTCAGGAATATATAAATTAGAAATCGTCAAGAAGAACTTATACAAGAAATTTAATGTTACTGTCTATGGTGAGTTGCTTAAGACTTTCAGTGGAATTATCACTTCAACACAAGTTTGCATTAAAATAAATGTTACTTTATTATTTAAAATTTGACATATGTAAAGGAAGTATACTTCTTGAAGGTGGTTGCCCTAGTGATCTAAGGACTGTTGTAGACAAAGCCAACATACTGAGTGCATTATTTTAATTCTGACTACTTCCTCTACTCTGTCTCAATGGAAGCATACAAAGGAAGCAGCACTTCTTAACATACACACTCTTAAAAATAAAGGTGCTTCACGATGCCATAGAAGAACCTTTTTGTCCAAATGGTTCCATAAAGAACCTTTAACATCTGAAGAACCTTTCTGTTTGACAAAAAGTTCTTTGTGGCAAAAGAAGGCTCTTCAGATTATAAAAAGGTAAGAAAGAGATGGTTCTTTAAAGAACCTTTGACTGAATGGTTCTTTGTGGAACCAAAAATGGTTCTTCTGTGGCATCGAAGAACCTTTTAAGCACCTTTATTTTTAAGACTGCAGTAACGCGTAAACTTTAAGCATGTTATGATGAGACTAATGCGACAGACTTATTTACAAACTTGTTTAAAGTTATACCTATTCTTTCAACTCCTGTTAAGATCATGTAAATTTGGTACAATCTGCATGCTACCAACGCAGGTTCATTCACCTGAAACAATATTGTAAACTCAAAAGGATGATTTAGACAACTTTACAACTCAAAAATCTTATAAAAAAAATATTATGCTAATAGATTTACCACATCAATAGCCAGTGCTTTGTTATTTGTAAACATGTCAAACTACTATATTAAGGTGACATTCAGATTTAATATCTTTCAGATAAACATATAGATTTACCAATAAATGTTGATTTATCTTAAAATTATATTTTGCCTGTTTATTCTCTCATGTTTCCAGCTCGTCTGCCTGTTCCTGTCATCAGCAGTATCTCTTCACAATGTTCATCATCATCATCATCATCATCATATTGTTCATTGGTGTGTTCAGTGGTGAATGTGAGTCATGTGACTCTCTCCTGGTACAAAGGAAACAGTTTATTGTCCAGCATCAGTGTGTCTGATCTCAGCATCAGTCTCTCTCTACCTCTGGAGGTGGAATATCAGGATAAAAACAGCTACAGCTGTGTGCTCAACAATCCCATCAGCAACCAGACCACACATCTGGACATCAGTGAACTCTGTCAGCCATGTGCAGGTACATACACCAATATTAAAATATGGTACTCCTACAAACTCTAAATTCTAACAGCAAAGCTCAGCTAAATAACTATATTAATAAGGACAAAGCAGCAGTTAGATTACATGTTGATTATAACCGTCCAAATAAAGCATCATCAGTGTAGGCTGACTAACGTTCCACTTTCTGAATGCAGTTATGAACATAAACATGGATACAATCCTTGGCTAGCTATAATAATGAAATCAAACAAAATTGGTGCCTTATAGTCTTGCAGCTTAAACAGCATCAATATATCACAAACCGGTATTGTCAGTTCCAGTGTATCTTCACAAGTATCTAATGTCTCTACTTCTCTATTACAGCACAAGGACTGTCTATAGGTGCTATAGTGGGGATATGTGTTGGTCTCCTCCTGCTGGTAGCTGTGGTTGCTGTGGTTTACTGTTGCTACAAAAAATTTGCAAAAGCAAAAGAAAATGGTAAATGTTAAATACAGCTGTTACAATGACAAAACTGTGTCAAAAACCTTTGAAAAAAAAAATAACTTTGTAACTACCAATTCTCCTAGATTGGTAGCATTATATTATTCTGCTCTTTGACTTATTTACACTTGCTTAAATAAAGTGATTATTTTTATAACAGATCAGACACCTAGGCAACAAGCTATTCAACTAAACAATGGTAAGGTATTATATTTCTTGATGCACTGTATATTAACAACTGACTGTTGTGTTTGAATGTATGAGATGTGGCTTCATTCGCTTTATACATTTCTGTTAAAGACAGAATTGTTTATTTGTCCAAAGAATTAGAGTTGTTATGTCCAGCATATGAAATACTGGGTTACTGCTATTCTCTCCATTGGTAGGAGAAGGTACAGAGTTAGTACAAAACCAGAATGTGGCTTCATTCATTTTACCCATTTCTGTTAAGGACATAATTGTATATTTGTCTAAAGAATTAGAGTTATGTCCAGCATATGAAATACTGGGTTACTGCCTGAGAAGGTACAGAGTTAGTACAAAACCAGACTTAGTCCAAACCACAATCTTTTTAGCAATTAACTAAATGACCATTGCAAGTATGCTATGGAGAATTGAAACCTGACGCCACAGTGCAATGCACTGTGGGATTTTAGGATACAGGGACATGGACAAAAAAAAAGAAAGATTTTCTATTAATGAGACTACACCTATTATATCACAAAGAACAATTATATGGGGAAAATCTGTTTTTGTAAAACAATTTCCATTTTCCAATATAATACTTAAAGGGGTCCTATTATGCTCTTTTACAAAGTCTTGATTTTGTTTTGGGGGTGTACTAGAACATGCTCTCATGCTTGGTGGTTCGAAAAAC